AGCCTGCTCGCCCGATAGCTGCGGAACGGGCCGGTGTGCGCACGCGCACACTGCCCGTTCTGCATTGCCGTCATCGGAAGCCCGCCCCTCAGCGGGGCGGGCTTTCGATGATCGCAAGTACGATCTGCCCGCCCAAGGTGGGCAGATCGTACGGGCTTTCAGGAAGCATACGACCATCGCAAGACAAAAGTCTTGCGATGGTCGTAAGGTGTATGGGCACCTTAAGTTCCGCTCAGCTCCATGTGCAGTTAGCAATTATCAGCTACATCTGGGCAGAGAATATTGGTGACGTGTGCAAATAATGATTTCAGCACAGCACTATTATACAATTCAGAGAACTCTGATGAAGAACCTCAAACAAGGTAAACATCCAAATAAAACAGAGCGTGGGCTAACACACTTTTTCAATAGGCAGTTCTCTTAAATCAGGGATGGCCAAACTGCAGCCCTCCAGCTGTGGTGGAACTACGAATCCCATCAGGCTTTGCAAGATTCCCACAGCCACGACTTCAGGAGAGAGATGCTTCATGGGATTTGTAGTTTCACAACAGCTGCAGGGCTTGACTTTGGCCATCCCTGTCTTAGTCAAAAACTGCACATCTGCCTAGTACTCTTAAAATACTAGTACTTGTGAATGTCTGTTAAAACATTTTGTTAGGAAACCACAAACTAAACATCATATAAAGTGGTGGAATTAGTACATTGGAATAACCAAACATCTGTGAAACAGTCACACGCTACTTTACTTTAGATTTGCCTTTGTTTCCATTTCTTTATACACAACATACTTGGCTTTTTAGCAGGTGGCTCTTCATCTTCACTAGAACTGTCTTCGCTGCTGGATTCCTTAGCAGCCTTTTTTTTGGGAAGACTGTTAGCAAGAGGTTTCCTTTTTTTAGAAGCTGGGGATCTGTGAATTCAAGAGTTGAGAACACAAATATATAGCATGTAAGTATATTGCAGGCAATAGATGACTAGAACCACCTTGTTGAAGAATTTCAGGTTTGTCATCAACTTTTAACTACAACATGGATGGTGAATATTTATGTTGGCGTGTTTTTAGTTTTAGCCATCAGTCCACATTAAAGGCCCACCGTGGCAAGTGGTTACTACTGGTTATGATCATGTTCAGAATATGAATTCCTTTTTTTAAATTTCACAGGTCTTCATATGAATTCCTTTTTATTTAACATCTATTTAAATTTTTCTTCACATTGAATGCAGAGAATTATACAATTTGCTGCTGCTATAACTGCTTAAAAATTGTTAGCTGGAGCTTAACTTTAATTTGCTTGTTGCCCACTTAAAGCCCGTCTAAAACTACATGCACATTTAAAAGGTGCCCATACACCTGCCGATCATACGATAATCGCGGGTGTATGGGCAGCGTGCGACCACATCTACTGTACGGTCGCACGACTTTCGTCTTCCTAGCACGCTGGGAAACCAGCCGAAAATCGTATGATTTCCGGCTGGTTGGTAGCGTGCTCGGAAGACTAAAGCCGCATGGGTAGGTGTGTGCAAGTGCACAATGCCGCTCAGCATTGCACTCATCGGCAAGACCTCCCCTCGGCGGGGAGGGCTTGTGATGATCGCAAATACGGTCTGCCTGTCCAAGATGGGCAGGTCGTACAAAATTTTAATGGCCTTACAACCAAATCGCACAACGAAGGTCGTGCAATGGTTGAAAGGTGTATGGCCAGCTTAAGACCATCACCACACGGTCACATCGATTTCACTTTATAACAAACAGCACTGCCTGTTGGAAGTGGAAATTCAATGGATCTACAGGTAATATGAGGCTACAGAGGGTGCTCAGAAAAACAAAACCTGCTGTATGAAAAGACAAACCTTTTTTGTAAGCAAGGGTTAGACTCTGCCAAATTATTAAAGGGGGTAGGAGTCCCCTTTGGGGAGATTCAGCCCTTCAAATATCTCGGTGACCATTATCCCCAAGACAGAAAGCAATAACATTTTAGGGTTATGGGGAAATCGTTCATTGGGGACAAGGTGGCAGATATCAAAGATGAGAATTCCCTTACTTTGGGAAGATTTCCTTTCACTTCCGGTTTATGTCCCAAAGACAGGAATTGAAGGAAATCCTCCACAGCAGGACAGAGCACAGAAAACAAAAGGGTTTAACCCTTTTCTACACTATCCAAAACTATATATACACACACAGTATATCAGTGATAACAGGATGCACCATATATGGCATTTATAATTTTGTTTTGGCATTGTTCTACATCAGGTGTACTGAAACAATCACAGCTTAAAGTGACAGTAAGTTCAGGAGTTAAACCGTAAATATGCATTCAAGTACCTTGCCTATTAACAAAAATGTGTCTTATTTGTATATTACTCAGCTGTAATTCCCCAAATCATCTCTGAATTGGTGCTGACACTGTCCTCCTTCTGGAGGGTGGCTACTTTTGTTCCACATGGTCCCTGCGTGTGTTGGAAAGTAGCCACCGCTCCAAGCTCACTCTCGGAATAGAATACAATCTCATGTTTAGTTTTCTAATTTGTATTGAGATTGTTGTCCATCATGGGAGCGAGCTTGGAGTGGAACAATAGAATAGCATAGAACAATGGGGAGGGATAGAATTTGACAATGATTTACTTGTTGAGTATAACTTCTTGTCTCCTCTTCCCCATTTCTTATACGGGTGTCACAGTGACAGGAAGTCAGAGAAAATCTGAGTGTGGCTGGATGTTTCAACAGGCAAAAACATGTGTGAGGACAGACAGTGGAAAACAAGCTCTAGGACTTCAGAAAATATGTACTGTATTACTACTCACTTTAGCCAATCGCTGTATATATCCACAAGACTGGCAGGGCTGTTGTCCTTATCTTTCTGTTGAATCAGAAAATACCGTTATAAATACAGCGCAACAAATAGAAGATCAGACAGACCACCCAACAATAAACGTATATTATAACCATTATACAAAAAATGAAGCTTGGGCTTCAGATGGCGGCTGTTAATTTTCACAGATGAGACCCACCAGCCAATGCTAGAGGCTTTTAGTACAAAAGCCATGTTCATTTTACAGCAGGAACCCCAATGTGCATAATGCTGTAACCTCTAATGCAGAACTAGTATGATTTCCATTAGTCAGGGCTAAGTCAACCATTGGCCTTGGATGGAAGCCTCCTTCAGCCACTTCCGGTCTATATGCATGTACTTCAGTGCCTGACACATATGCCAGCGCAATGTGTTTCAGCACAATCACTTGTACTCTCCACCAGGGCGCATGTAACAGGATGACAATTGGGAAGCCGTTCAGGCAGGATCACAATATTATTTTAATAAAAATGTAAAAGGTTTACAAAAAAAAAAAAAATGAACTATTTGTGAAATGACATTAACATGTTAAAGCACGAGAGATTTTAGTGATTGGGTTTAATTGCAATTTAAGATTGTCAAAAATAACAAATACAAATGTAGTTTACTGATGGCCATGATATTTACACAAATCAAAAAATAGTAAACTCATATGCACAACCAGACACGAAGAAAATAAGGAGTAGGCACCGATTCAACAGAACAAGGACCTTCATGGCACTCATCTCTTCACAAATCCAACAAAATAGGGATGTAGTCATCATACAAGTCCTTCAGCTTTAGTCCATCTACTCAGAAAGGGGATGGAGGACCTAAGCTATGAGAACAGGCTAGTAAAATTAAACATGTTCTCCTTGGAAGTAAAGAGATTAAGAGGGGGACATGATTTTCATGTATAAAAGCAGAAGGAAGCATTTTCAGTCTCCTCTTCCCCAGTGATCAGACTGCAACATTTAAATGTTGTAGAAAGTCACAGAGGAGAAGGTGCATCAGTGGCTGATCTGTGTCAGATATTTGTGAACGCAGCTAAGAACTACATAGGCACCAGGCTTTACATGGGTGTCTCATTTCTGAGCCAGCATCTCAGTCCAGGAATATGAACAAAGATGGCACTGTCCTTTTGGAAGAAAAAACACCAGATAAAGGCACTGTAAAGGGTTAATACATAAGTACTGTATCCACATCAGCATGCAAAGTAGATATAAACCCAATCACTAAAATCTTAAAAGATGTTAAAGTTGCCTTGTCAGGTTAAAACAAATCCAGATGGAACATCCCGGCAAGAGAGTTTTTATATACAGCTACAAGGACCCTTTCTTGCGACACACAACGCGCTGCTTTTTAGCAGCAATTGTGTTCAATTGCGCAGGCGGAATCGCACAATCCACCCAGCGCAACTGGGATGGGCAAATAATGGCACCGCCATCGACTGTGGTGGGCAACTCCATGGCCGTCCAGTCAGAAATCTCCCAGTTGTGAACATAGCCTCAAAACACCCAGGGGAAAAAAACAGTGCCTTGAAGCTCGTTGCAGACTAAAACAATTCAGGGGGAATCAGAACAACTGGGGCAGACAGAATCTGGAGCAGTTGCCCATTCATTTGATGCTACAGTTTGTTCAATTAAAGTGACATTAAAGTCAATTTCTCTAAATATATATATATTATATAAATAAATAATCAAGCAGCAGAGCTATACAGAAGACGAACAGTCAGAGGTGTCCAGAAGTCAGGGGGTAATGATAACAAGTACAAAGCCCAGTACACTCAGTGCCATGTGGGGCCTGTGCACACACAGAAATGAGCCTGCGTAGGCCAGTGCTGTCCACCCATCACTCACCAATCCGGTGGCCTTGCTGAACTCTTTGGCGGTGCTAACCAACTGGTTGTCGCGAAGGAAGCGCAATATATGAGGGAATAAATCGCTGGGTACCACGGGTCTATCCGCCATGATTCTGGCTTCGCACGCTGCAGCTCCGCGATCACGTGTAAAAGAGGGCTCCGGCGCTTGTCGCATACGTATTACGTCATGAGGAGGAGAAGCTAAGCCGACCAATGGGGGAGGTGCTCAGTATGGGTTTGGGTGTAGCAAGATGGCGTCCAATCATGGCTTGTTACGTAGTGTTCCGCTTGAATCACTGCCTGTATGTACTCCTGCTGCAGAATCAGATATAACATGGAACACACACAGTACAGCATCCTGTTACTTAGTGCTCCATGCACCAGGTTTCATTCTTGTGGCACATGACACCTCTCATTACACTTTGTTGAATGTAGCCGAAATGACCCATTTACATCACGCTTGTCGGTGTCTGCTGAACACACAGACCCAATACAATAACAAGCCGGGATCCAATAGGATTATTATTATACAGAATTTATAAACAGTTTGCACAGCCTTTTACAAAATGGAGGGAGACGGTACAATTAACAACGCAATTTCAATACAGGAGGGCCCTGCACGTGAGAGTTTACAATCTAGCCGGATTAGTGTACACCAGGGGTAGGTAACCTCGGCACTCTAGCTGTGGTGAAACTACAAATACCGTTATGCCTCTGTCTCTGGGAGTCATGCCTGTGGCTGTTAGTCTTGTGGTGCCTCATGAGACTTGTAGTTCCTCAACAGCTGGAGTGCCAAGGTTGCTATTATTATGCCTTGGGTGGAAATGAAACATGCTGCATTTACATCCAAAACAATGCATTACAAGGCGTGGCAGCACGCTAAAACATGTTAAGAAAATAAATATTTTCAGGCTGATCACTTTAAGTAGTATTAAATGCTGAAACCTTGTTTTCAATAATCCAGATCAAACAAATATACATTGCCCAGTAAAGTGTTTATTTAAAATTTTGCCAAAATGCTTACAGTCGTAATGTTCCAATCAGCTGGCTCCAACTCTCTGAGCTCAACCTTCCTGAACTTCCTGTCCAGTCCAGGGTTACAAGGAAAAGTACTATCTATAGGGGGGGGGGGGGGGGGGGGGGGCAATGGCTCACCCTACTTTGTGTGTTTGTGGAGACACACAGCTGGTAAAAGGGTGGTTGTATAGGACCCTGCAAGGGAAAGGAGCCACCCTAAAACGGGATATCAGTGCCAGTACTCAGGGAACCAGCTCATTCTGATGGAGGCTAAAACTTTTAAATATCAATGGGCAACATCCATTGTAAGTGATTTAATCAGCATTTAAAATAGCTTAAAAAGCTTTTGGCTTTAATATCACTTCAATGCGCAAGGTGCTCTTCCTCTTTGGATCGTCTCTGAGTGGTGGGCAGGCCTCAGTGATGCCCAGAGCTCTTTGTATTATTACTGTTGTGCCTTCGGCATGTAGAAATAATAGACGTACCCACTTGCATTATCAAATCGGCCACAAGATGGAGCTAAAGAGAAAACACCTCTGTGTATAGCAGCTTAGACTGTTTTTTCTTTTTTGGTAAAACTCACAACATCCCTCTGCACAAAGAAAAGGAAACAAGTGCATCTTGGGAGTTCAGGTTCCATTTTAGAAAGAGAAAAAGAAGGATCCACTGCCGTCTGCAGCATGTGTCTGGAGGAAAGAGCCCAAATCCATTTTAGGCAGCATCACTGGACTTATTTCTTTCTGTAATTGTTAGCTGGGACTATGTTTATATACTGATTGCATGTTTCTATGTTCTTTATCACAAGTTTCACCCACCCTGTTTTGTTAATAAAACTTCAAGATTTCACCCAATCTGGCTTTTTGCAAAATAGGAGGGTTTAGCTGCATGTCGAACTATACACAGGCCACAGGGCAAGGGGTAGCAGGAACAGAACAATTGCGCTGTGACTGCATTACCTGTGGTGATTCCCCCTCATGGGGAGGTTCCATGACACCCTTAGCTCACAGTATGTCCACGCTCTTCCAGTTTAAAGGACACTGGGCATCATTCAACCTGGAAGGCTGGGGGCATCTAGTGGCAAAAAGGAATTACTATGGTAACTGGTGCTGGAGAGGAGGTTAGTATTGCTGCCAGAGCTGTTTCTTTTTTTTTTTTTTTAAGGATAAGTTCCACCTTTTGCAAAACTTACAGAAATGCATAATTAATAATATA